GTGGGGAAAGGCGCGGGTGGTGGGGCCAGCCTGGAGCTGAGCGTCCTCGGAGGAGCACCTGGCTGGGCGAGGCTTCCCAGGGAAGCCGGGGTGTGCCCCGCCGCCGGAGGAGGACTTTGCCCTTCGGCGCCCAGCCCTGCTACCGCCTGCCTCCAGGAGGGAAGGGTTCCGCCTGGCCTTGGTCTCCCGCCAGGCCGGCCCGTGGGCAAGGGCGAAAGGGGGGAGCCAGCCCCTGAGAATGTGCAGAGACCTCCCCTTGCCATCACTCCCGACTGCAGTCCGGGCGCCCCTCCTGTTTCTTTTGCGAGCGCTGTCCGCGGTGCTGGTGCTGAAACTCGTCGGGAGCCTCGCAGCCGCCGGGCCCGACAGGCACCCACCTGGCCAGGGGCCAAACTAAGCTGGGCTGGGCTGAGCTGGGCGGGCGGGCAGCGTAATCTGCGCGCTCCCCTCCCCCGCCAGCCCTCGCCTTTGTCGCGCCTCCCCGCCCGCCTCGCTGTGCCGACTCGCTGCGTGCCAGGCTCGTTCATCGCTGCAGCGCCCGATCTCTCCCCTGCTCGCTCGGCTTCTCCGCAGCCCGTTCAGCCGCAATAGCACCATGGCCAGCAGTTTCACCCGCGCCCTCTCTGCCCGGAGATCCGCCGGCCTTCTGGCACTGGCCGGGGCCGCCGGCTCGCTGGCAACTGGATTCCTCCTCTCCCGGGATGCGGTGGGCGCCGCCGAGGCCAAACGCCGCCTCTACCCACCCAGGTAGGACGGGAGCCGCAGCGGCCGGGCGGGGAATGCCCTTGGCAGGGTAGCCCCGGGCTCCGAGAGACCGGCCGCAGCCACGGGCAGCGAGGCAAGCCGAGCCGAGGCGGGGGAAGTGAAGGAGGGGGACGCCTTGCATTCCGCAGAGCCGGTGCTTGCGAGGGGGCGAGGGCTCCTTGGCTCAAAGGCGGAGGACCGTCTCCCCCGCTCGCTTTTTATTAAACTCTGTGGCCGTGTGCAGTTGCTGTGCTTGATGTACAGAACACAAGTTTTGTTTGCTTGGGGCTTGTTGTTTTGATTCTCTCTAGAATGTTAAGTAGAGCTTTCTTCTAGGTTTTTTTCCCCCTCCTCTGTTGTGGCAGCCAGGTTTTGTTTATAGGATGTATTGTGATATATATTTTTAAATCCCTTTGGCTGGCTGCAGGTTACATTGGGCTGGAATTCTTGTTTTCACT